CTTGAATCTGCCGGAGATTCTCTCCCTCCCTCTCCCTCTGCCCCTCCCCCAGCTCATGCTCTCTCTCTCTCTCAAATAAATAAATAAATAAATAAATAAATTTTTTTAAAAAAGATATGTAGGACTGGTGTACCTAAAGACAGAAATCCTGTATCTCTAAGGTTGATAGGGACTGTCCACTGGAATAGCCTCGAAGGAGAGGGGGCAGAGAAGAATGACAGATGCTTGCAGCAGCTTCTTAGCTCACGAAGGGCTCCAATACACACGGTCTCTTGGCTTCCCTTAGGAAGTTTGCGCCTTCTAACCCCTTCCCTTATCCTCGTTGTCTCCGTCCCGGGGAGCAGTACCTTGTCTGTCTAGCAATGAAGGAGACATACCAGCAAAAATAGGACTGATGTTGTCAGGGGTGTGGAGAAAAGGGTACATTTATAGATTTGCTAGTTGTCCTGTGTCTCTGTTCCTTTTCTGGTAGGAAAAAATTGGCAAAATCACATTAAAAAGACTCCAAGGGAGTAATCCAAAAAAGAAAAGCAGATTTGCAAAAAGGCAGTCCCAGAGCACGGCACAGGGAAGGATTTGCAATAATATGAATGCCCAACCGTAGAGGCGTGGCAAAGCCGACTCTGGAGTTCTAACAGAGTGAACATCGTGAGTTAGCGGAGCAGATCACAAAATGGTCTGTGCCCACTGATTATAACTGGAGACCGACATGTAGGTACATGAACATACCCTAAGAGAATTTGGAGGGATGCAAACAGAGTTAGTATCTTTTAGGTTCTTCATAATTGCTTTCTAAAGGTGAAAGATTTGTCTCCTCAGAGCGCCTTCCAAAGAGGTGTAGGGAAATGTTTTGAGCAAGGACAGCAAGGACAAAATATCCCGAGGGGATTCCTTAGGAGGGACGCCACCTCACCGGATGTGAAACCCGGGTGCTTGCTGATAGGAGCAGGATTACATCAAGTTTTTCGTACAGTGTGTGTGTGTATGTGTGTGTGTGTGCGTGTGTGTGCACAGATTCCAGAAGGAGGTATCTGCCCCTGGTGCGGGGTGAGCCTAGCCCAGGGAAGGCAGAGGTAGGAATTAGTGTCTATGTGGACACACTCTGGGCACTTGGTTGGTGTCTTCATCTTCCTCTGGTTCAGCCAGCCAGCCAGCCGTAACTGGGCCAGACCCTGGGCAAGGGAGCCGGGGGCCCAGCGGCCCCATCCAGGACCTCATAGCCAAGCCAGGAGGTGAGGGAGAGAAGGAAGTGACTTTCGTCAGCAGCCAGGCCGGACAGCATTGGAACAGAAAGGCTAATCCATCTGTCTAGCCGCAGGGGCTCACAGCTCAACCCCCCCCCACCCAAGGCAGGCAGGCCTCGTGAAGGTGGAGGAGCTCCATGCCCCCTTCTGAAGGCTGCAGCTGGCCCAGCAGCTCGCTGTTCTGCAGAAAATGGGCCCAGAGTTCCCAGATCTTCATGTTAAAAGTCTGAAGCTCCACGTCTATGTGAAATGGATTTTTTTAAAGCACATATTGAATTAACACTGTGCAGACCAAACCCATTTTGCATGATGAGTATGGCCTATGGGCCTCCGTTGAAGACTCCAGTTGGGAGTGGGGGGCGTGGGGAGGCAGCAACCGCAGGCTGAAGCCAGGGCAACTGGCTGGGCTGGGCTGACCAGCCCTGAGCCCAAACCTGAGGCTCCTCCCCGCCTCTCCCCTTCCCGGACCCCCAACCCCACCTCTGGTCATTCCCCTCCTCATTACCAGGCCACTAGGTGGCACCGTGAGCCCAGCCGTGCACATTGGCCAGAGAAGCCTGCCCCTACCCCGGACCCGGAAAGCCAGCCCACCCTACCACCTCACAGTCACCAGCCACCCCGGGGACTTCTTGGCTTTTTCTTTTTCTCTTAGGGTTTTTATTACGTCAAAAAGACCCCTTTATTTCGGGTTCATTCTGTTCTAGGCCAGCACTGCCCAATAGAAGCGTAATACAACCCCTGTTTTTAATTTTTAATTTTCTAGGCATATTTTTAAAAAGTGAAGAGACAGAGGTGACATGAATTTTAATAATGTTTTATTCAGCTCCGTGTATCAACAATACTATCACTTGAGTATGTAATCAATGTACACGGTATTCATGAGACATTTTACATTCCTTTTTGTACTAAGTATTCGAAATCTAGTGTGTTTTATACTTACAGCCCATTTCAATTTAAACCAGCTATATTTCAGGGGCTCCTTTGGCCAGAGGCTATGGAATCTTTGGGCTGGGCAGCTGTAGGCCCTATGGAGGCCCCGAACTTCCCACCCTCAGCAGGATGTCTCCTGTTTAAAAAGACATTAGCAAATTTTGGAAGTTCCTGGGCAGGGAAGCCCAGCTCACTCTCCTGCTCCACCCCTGGCCTGGGGGAGGAAGAGCCTCCTTTCAGAACCGAGATGAGTCCCTACTTTCTCTCTTTTTCTCTCTCTCTCTCACTGCCTACCCTGGAGGCCTGCATTTTGCAAACAACAATGGGTTTCCTTTATGGAGCGAAAATTCTTTTATTTATTTTTTTATTTTTTTAAGACTTTATTTATTTATTTGACGGAGAGAGACACAGTGAGAGAGGGAACACAAGCAGGGGGAGTGGGAGAGGGAGAGGCAGGCTTCCCGCTGAGCAGGGAGCCTGACGCGGAGCTCGATCCCAGGACCCTGGGATCACAACCTGAGCTGAAGGCAGACACTTAACGGCTGAACCACCCAGGCGCCCCTGGAGCGAAAATTCTTAATTTAATATAGTCAAATTTACCAAACTTGACAATTTGTGCTGAAGCCACACACTATTGTCGAAACTTATTAGCCTCCAGGTGCCTCTTCAGCTCCCCAGACTCCCCCTGAACCCCTAGCAGGTGGCTCTTCCCTCCCTCTGTGGTCTGTTCTCCCCTCTCGCAGCCGCCTGGTCACAGCCCTTGGTGGAAGCAGCGCTTCTGAAGCCAGGGTGACACACCAACCAAAGCTATTTCTTTCCACTGCAATGGCTCGTCGGGCTCCAAACCGGCCCCGGGACCTGGACAAGGGACTGACGTCTGGTTGAGAGGAGTGTTCCTCCATTTCCGGCCTCAGTTTTCCCATCTGGAATATCAGAGGATCTGAACCTCACAACCTCTGAGGCCCCATCCCACCTCTGCCTCCCCCCACATCCTGCATTAACCTAGGGGTTTAGATTCCTTCCTCTACCCTCTTCCACCGCCGCCCCCCACCCCCAGCACACACACATGCACACACCCAGTGGTTCCAGGGCACGCTTCCGAAACACTGTAAGGAGAGAGAGATCAAGGACACAGAGGAGACATGGAGCATAGAGGAGGAGGCTGAAACAGGGAGAAGACAGGAGAGGGAGTGAAGAGAGACAGCAAGAATCAGAGAGGACAGGTGACCAGGACTGAGGTCCCTCGGAGCTGGCGTCTGCCCCCAGGGAGCTCCTGAACAGAAGTATCTTTGCTGCTCTTTAAAAGCACCCCTGGGGCGCCTGGGTGGCTCAGTGGGTTAAGCGTCTGCCTTCGGCTCAAGCCATGATCCCAGGATCCTGGGATTGAGCCCCGCATCGCATCGGGCTCCCTGCTCAGTGGGGAGTCTGCTTCTCCCTCTGCCCCTCCCCCTGCTCATGCTCTCTCTCTCAAATAAATAAATACAATCTTTAAAAAAATTAATAAAAACACCCCAGAAAAGCTCTGATAGGCATGAGATGGAGCCCACCCTTCCTCCCTAACACCCCGTGGTGAGGTGCTCAGAGACCCATTGAGGCAGGATCCTCTGGTGGTGCTTAGTCCCCCTCTCCTCCTGGAGCCAGGCTGTGGCCAGAACACCTCTGGGGGCTGGAGGTCAGGGTCGAGGTGGGATGCCCTAGGGTAGGTCCAGGGCTCAGCGTTCCCTGACAGAGAGGAGGAAAGACAGAGATAGGAGGAAGTGTGACCTGCTCCAGGGGCAGAGAAGCAGAGGACTCCGTTGCCCAGGACAGGTGAAGACACACCCCTCTGTGACCCACTGTGTCTGTTTCCCCCATCCGGAGCCCCCAGACCAGAGAGGCAACTTCTGTGGCTGCAGTGGAAATGAGAGGTCCACCCAAGTCCCTCTGGGCTGGGCTGGGCTGGGCTGGGTTGGGGCCCAGGCAGTATGCTGCTCGGCAGTTCTCAGGGGAGTGGGGAATTGAAAAGGAAAAGCATCTCTGAGGAGGGTGGGGGGAGGGAGGCTGTGTGGTATACTCTCTCTCTCTGACTTAGCCTAAGCCTCACCCGGGAGAGGAGCGTCTTCGCTCAGCTCTTGGAGCTGCTTTCTGTTACTTCCCCACCCATCTCTGCTGTCAGCAGCACCAGCAAAGTTGGCCTCAAACTTGAACAGAGCTGAAGGCTCCAGCTTCCCGAAGCTCTGCGTGGGCGTCGGGCCTGCCTCAGCCTCCGAACTCAGCTGGTCCGGAGAAGCCGACCCCGGCCAGCTCCCGGGTAGCCCTTGCTCCCCTGGGGGACGCTTCTGCCCCTGGCCTGTCGGCCCCCAGTCTGGGCAGAGGAATGGTGTGCTGAGCTCTCTCTGGAGCCGATCATCTCAGCCTGAAGCTGGAGCAACCCAAGGCCCAAGCCAACATGGCCAACCCGTTGCAGCCTCAGTTTCCCTCAGCCCAGGAGCCAGGCACCGCCTTACCCCTGGACCTGCCGGAGATGGAGATGCTCCTCACGAAGGTGGAAGGCAAGGATGACAAGCCACTGAAGCTGTCCAAGTCCCTCTCGAGGGCCCTGGACCTGGAGCAGAATGGCCACGGCCTGCCCTTCAAGGTGGTATCCGAGGGGCGCCAGGACACCACACTCCCCTGGTCGGCCTCTCGGGCCAGCTCTAGGCGGGCGTCCTCCATTGCCACTGCGTCCTCTGCCCAGGACCAAGAAGTCCCCAAAGATTACCTTATCCTTGCCATTGCCTCCTGCTTCTGCCCCGTGTGGCCCCTCAACCTCATCCCCCTCATCTTTTCCATCATGGTAAGTGCTGCTCTCTGTTCCGGGGCTCAGCAGGTGTGTTCCCCCGGGCAGACGCCAGACCCTCTGCTCAGGGCGTGAGGAAGAGAGAGCTGGGGGTTGGGGGCTGGGGGCAGACTCCCTTTCTCACCGGGCCTACTGCCCCTGTTGGAGAGGGGGCCAGGGCCACGAGAACTTCTGTTTGCTGTCTTCCCTCTTCTCTGCTCTTCGGTGTCACAGCTCGACTTTGCACACATCCCTGCTGGGGAGGGGACCCAGGGAGCCACCTGGAGCCAAACTCTACACTGCAGAAAGGCAGGCAAGTTGGGGGGCTTGCCTTTTGCAGGGGGGTGTCCTGAGGAGTCATCCTGAGCAGGGCTGTGTGTCAGTAGAGGTTTGTCCAGCGTGGGGGCTCAGGACCCCAAGTTCTTGGGAGGGGATCCAGCCGACCCCACCCCTCACCCCGGGCCCCCTGGGTATTCCAATGGCCTTTGCCAACTCTGGTTTCCAAGAGCTGGTTGTGGCTTCCCTGCCATGCGCCGGGGGCCCTGGGGCCTGGCTCCCCCGAGGCTGCCCCTTTGGGGAGGGGAGGCTGTTTTTGCTGGGGCCCTCTGGACTTGGTGTCACACTGATTTCAGCATCTGTCTTTAGTCTGTTTTTAGGGTAGGGGAGGTCTGGGCCGTGGGTGAAAAATGTGTGTCAGAGGACATGGCTGGCCCTGCCTAGGAGGAGCATATGGGCTAGACTTTGCTTCTCACACACTTGTCCTGTAAGCTTCCTAGTAAACAGTCTTAGGTTGTCCCCAAACCAAGCCATTTGGATAGAACTACTTATAGAGGATCCACAGAAATGTCCGTAGATGTTGGCAAGTGACTTTCGAGGTCCAGGAAGAAGAGGGAGGGAGGGGGGGTGAGAGGGAGAGACCGGGCAGGCAATGGCTTCCAGAAGGTAAAAAGAAAGTGGGAATAGTAAACCCCCAGCCTCACGCTGGTCAGGGCTGGGGGACAGGGTGGGGAGATGCTGTCTGCTTCCCTCTGGAGTGACTCCCCTGCTGAGTCATCTATCACCGAGTCCTCAGGAGCTGTGGTCACTTCTGCTGCCCCCGGGCTGTCCTCTGAGAAAGCCCCTGTCTCCTCAAACACCTCCTTCCACTTCACGAAGGCCCAGTGTCCAGCCAGGGATGCCTTCCCTGACCCCCCATCAAATCTAGCTCCCCCTGCCAGGACATCAGGGGACCCCGGTGGCATTCCTGAGACTTGGCATGGGCACAAGAGGAAGGGCTGAGCAGGGGCCGGGGGTGGGGGGCGGGTCTTTGAGGAGTTTCCTGTGCGGCCTGCTGTACTTGGGGGTGGCTGGGGGCAGAACCAGCTCCCAGGGGTGCAGCTGGGAGTTCTGGGCAGGGCCAACCTCTTGGTTACAGGGAGAAGCCCCAGGAGGGGAGACAGGCTTCGGGGAGGGAAGCCACACAGGGGCCAGGAGAGAACAGTTGCTGGAATCCATCTCCTTGTGGGGGCGGCAGGGTGCAGGCTGGGTAGACGCTGCCTTTGTCAAAGGCGCCTGCATCCAAGACTGTGAGACCACTGAGCCTGCCCCCAGGGCATTTCTACAGCCTTCTCAGGTTCCGGAGTCAGTTCCGGAGGCCACTGGGTCAGGGGCAGGGAATCCGGTGCTAAGCCAGAGCCAGACCCCATCACCAATTCCCAGGAGCCTCCAGTCCAGTGGGGAGAAACTTGTAAACAGATCCTATAACCCATTGCAAGAAGTGCTCATGCTAGACAAAACCTCAGCGTATCGTGGGGCCTTGGGCAAGTCACTGAAATCTCTCTTCTCAGTATTCCCATCTGCAAAATGGGTGTCACATAACACCTACATTAGAGAGCTGTGTGGGGGTGAAGTGAGATGAGCTGCACGAAGGGCTGAAGAGCAAGTGCTTTTACACCTTAGCAATAATTGAGTGGGACCTGAGTGTCTCCCTGGCCGGGGGTGGGAAGCCATCATGAGTTTTTTGGGGTTTTCTTAGAGCTTTGACATATAATACACATATCATACAATTCACCTGTTCAAAGTGTACAATTCAAAGATTTTTAGTATCTTCACAGATCCATGCAACCATAACCATAGTCAGTTGTAGAACATTTTCCTCATCTCCAGAAAAGCCCATCCTTTTTTTTTTTTTTAATCAACCCATCTCTCCCTTGATCCCTCTCAGACCTAACAAACCAGTAATCTTTCTGTCTCTATGGATTTGCCTCTTCTGGACAGTTCATACCGGTGGAATCATACAGCGTGTGGTCCTTTGGGACCAGCAGCAAGCTTCACCTGGCATTTACATCACAGGGCCCGGAGCCAAAGAAAGGTGTGGTCAGGTTTCCATTTTGGTGGAGCAGGTAAGAGGAGGGGTGGAAGGAGCCTCTCTGACCCTGGCAGTTGGGAGAAGGAACCTTTGCAGGAACACTAGGTGAGAGATGAAGAGGTCTGGACCAAGGCCCTGGCAAGGGGCAGATAGGGTTTCTGGAAACCTAAGAGTTGTTAACACAGAACATTTATTTATTTACTCAGTCAATCATTCACTTGACTGGCAAGTTGCTTGTTTGGAGGCAACTAAATGGTAGAGAATGATTAGGTCCCCCTTGAATGAATATGCCTCTTTTACCAATGAGGCGCCATGCTAGGCATTTGGGAGGATGGATGACATGGTCTGCTTGACATGGCCAAAGGATGCAAGGGTATGGTGATGGAAGGAGGTGGGCAGGGACCCGCTCTAGGAATTTAAGTTTTATCCCAGTGGCCCTGAAGGAGCCCCTGAAAAAAAATTTTTTTT